GGGAATCCTGGAAAGTCACAGCCGATGCCTGTTTCAGAGACTATGCCAAGTACGGCCGCTTCGTTGGTACGCCTTTCGTGGCCAGAGACATGATTTCGATCGCCGACGCCCTCGGCCAAGGCCCTAAGGTGAACTACTGGGGCGTCTCCTACGGCACTGTTCTCGGACAAGTCTTCGCCTCCATGTTCCCTGATCGCGTGGGGCGTCTTGTCTTGGACAGCAACCTCATCGCCGACGACTATGCCGATACCACGTGGAAGACCGGCCAAAGAGACACGGAGCGCGCTTTGCACCACCTCTTTGACGAGTGCGTCGAGGCCGGTCCTGAGGTCTGCGTACTGGCTAACTTCACCGGCGCTGATACTACCGGTGACAGCCTGATGAAGGCACTCGAAACCCTTCTCGAGGAGCAGATCAACGACAAGAATGACACCGCCAACGAGAAAGACGATATCGTGTCCCTCTTCAAGATGTCTCTGTTGACGGAGCTATACAAGCCGCTACAATACCCTCTAGCCGTCGCAAGAGTGCACGCCGCCTTGACAGGCAACTGGACCCGCGCCATTTCCTCTGCAGTTAATGCACTGCCGTCCGAATGGAACGAAGGCGGCACCTTTGGCGTCTGGGGCATCGCCTGCGCGGACTCGTCTTTCCGCGTCGAAAACGTTGATGATCTATACTCCATCTACCGGACCCATTGGGAGGGCAGCTCTTTCGGCGAAGCCAGCGCCAGGCTGCGCATGCCTTGCTCTCGCTGGCGATTTGATGCCGCTGAGAAAATCGACCTCAACGCTTTGAGGAACGTCAGGACTAGCTTCCCAGCCCTCATCATCAATGGACACTGGGACCCAGTCACCCCTGAGAACACGGCGTGGGAGGTTTCTGCGCGGTTCCGAAATAGTCGGGCTGTTATTCATCACGGTGTTGGTGTCAGTTCTTCAGGTCACTTTCTCCGCAAATATCAATGCTAACATGTCTTTCAGCATGGATATACCAACCACCCCTCGAGTTGCGTGGACAACATCGTTCGTGAATATTTCCAGAATGGCAATATGCCCGAGATCGGGACTACGTGCGAGCCAGATATGACTGCATTTGAATACGTCGCTTCTCAAGCCAAGGAGGTAGAGGAGAGTGGATAGTCGAGGAACAGTCTATCATTTCGAGGCTTCCCAACTGCTTTGTGCATATGGAGCGGCTGTACATTCATTAGTGCGAGTAGAGAATCTGTTTCTTCATTTGGCTATTAAGGACTCAACATTCTCCCTTGTCTGTTTGATCACTTTCTTTTTTTCATCAGATAGCATCATCGTATTGAATCATACCATCATAAGACTTTCCTTCCCACGCTACTTGCTCCGGTTAGGAACGGGGTCATATAGTCTCATTTTAGAGTCTCCAAGTATCCCGCGTAATCCCACTTCTTGCCGTCCCTCCAAAAGCCCTCTACCACAGGCTCATGCGGCGTTTCACCGTTCACCGACACCTCATTCAGCCAACTCCAATACGTCGTCGCCTTCCATCCGTTCGTCTTCCAGTCATTGATATCCCTACCCGGCTGCTTGTTGAAGACCGGCAACACGTCCAGTAGACTCGCATCGTGCGCGATGCAGACCATGACATTATCCTTGATATCCAGCTCACGCATCTTGGCAACCGACTCGGTGGCCAGGTCAATATCTGTATAGACGGGGTGTTTACCTCCACGAGGTAGCTCATACCATGGCTTGGTCGACGCCGATTTCTCGTCTGACGCGTTAGGATGGTGTGGAGTAAAGTGGGAGCATGGGCACATGGCCTTGGACGCCCAATCTCTGCGCAATGCAATGGCCGAGGCGGGGATTCCATCCGGGAGTGGGGTCTCTTCGGACGGCCGGAAGACGCCCGCAAAATGACAGATGTCACCGCCCAGAAAGACGAATGTGGCTCCCTCAGGGGACGAGGATGGCGTCGTCCGGGCAAGGCCGCATATGTGCTCTGGCTGATGACCCGGAGCCTCAAGAAGGTAGAAGGAACCGTCACCAAAGAAGTCTTGGGCTTTGAACTTGCCCACCATCAGACCTTTGTCGAAGTTAGCTTCCTCGAGAGGCCGGCCTTCAAATTCTGCTGCCGCCTGTGGATCATCTTTTCCCCCGGGCCTTCCTTTGGACGAGAAGTATCCAGGCCCAGTAACCAGCGTTGTTGATTTGGGAAAGACAGAAACATCTCCGCGGTGGTCAAAATGGGCGTGAGACCAGATGCAGTAATCTGTATGGTTGTCTGTGAGAGAGGGTTCCTGGGAAGCAATCTCAAGAGAAAGGTTCTTACCAATCGACTTTGGATCTACTCCTCCATCCGTCAACACCTCATCAATGCCCTTTGGTACGCTCATGCCAAAGATCACGCTATCTGGCCCCAGCACTCCTTGTTGGGCGCCCTTGGGCAAGTTCCAGTAATCTTTTCGGACGCCGAGATCGAACATTGCCTTTTTGCCGAGTTTCTCATGTTCGAGGAGGAAAGCTAGCGAGCAAAAGTTGATGACTTCGTGCCCCTTCACGACTGGCTGAACGAAGGACTCGGCCACGCCGACCATGGCAGTCGTCGTATCGACAAGCTTGACGCGCACGACATTGTCTGATTTTGGAATGTTGGCCATTCCGTCGATTTGTTGATGAATCTGAGTAGCGTGGGTTTACAGACTATGAGACGACTTTAGGGAAACAAAGAGGGGAGAGATACTAGAGAAAGTTTCCTGAGCCGCATGGTGCCCCGACGTCATCGGTGATTATCAAATGAACATGTCTTCTCCACTTCCCCAGGTTTTTGCATCCAATGTGAAAGCTCCTTGCTCTACACTGCACGACGTTGGAGGTGCAGGAAATACTTACCCGAAGGTGCCGCAAGCCAGCCAGCAAGTGTAGAGTCGTGCCACATGCAAGCCACAGCTGCAAATCCGTATCGTACCACCGGTCCATGATGAAAAAAAGAGTCTCTTGATGTAATTTGTACAGATGCCTAGCGGGGAGTCGAGAGTCCCAAATATTCAACCTCCAAACGCCTGCGCGCGTGCCAAATGCTCTAGTTTAGTAATATATCGTACCCATCTCCCATGATGCGAACCTCTTCGCTGCCGAGACCGTACTTTCGTCGCACCAGTTCAAAAATGATCAATCCAGCGCTTGTGCTGGGAACTTGGCGGATGGTGTTCCACCAGAAACCGCGCCATAGCCATTTCCTCACGCCCAGCCCTTCCTTTGCTGCCTCTGCGCAGCATTCTGACCAGGTCTCTTTGTAAGCCCGATAGTAGGCCCTCGCCATCCTCCATCCGTCTTTACGTTGTGCCGGGTCGGCTCCCTTGGTTTCCCTCAATTTCGCTGCCTTGGCGTCGAGTTCCTCAAGGCGATCCCAGTGCTCCACCTGCACGTGAGTCAAGGGATGAAGAACAACTTGTTGGGCAAAGGATGCGCTGAGTCCTCCTAGGAGCAAGAAGATGGGTTCTATAGCGTAGTGCGGTCGAATGATAAGAGGTTGCTTGTTGTCATCTTCCGGTTTGCCATTCTTCGCAGGTCGCTTTTGGGCCATGAAGTCTACAATGTGCTCTTCAAGGCCGCCGTAGTACCACGAGACGAAACGGTAGTACCCTTGGGCCTTGACGTATTCGAAAACGCTGAAGAAGACCGCCGCGCCGAAACTGTCCTTCATAAGAGAAAGACCCCATCCCGCAAAGATGCCACGCACACCAATCTCCCTCAGCTTCTCGGCACTGAAGGCCCACATGCTCCTGGGTTTCCCGCCCTCTGTTGGCATGAGGTCGCGGTGATCATACCGTGCCTGGATGGCATCTAACGGTGCCGCGATGAAACTCTGGAGACTTCCGGCGAGAAGTCCCGCGGTGAAGGTTTGGGTAGGGTGTGGTGGTGGGTAGACAGTCTTCGTCGCTCTGCCGCTCTCCTCATGCAGACTGCCAAGGATGGTGAGGTAGCTGGTATACAGCACGGCTCCGACCCCCACGTTTGCGATAAGTGGCGGCAAGACTTGATTCGGGAGCACGCTCCAGCCGTGCTGCTTCACCGCCGACGTGAGCACGCCCGGCGTGGTGCCCCGCAGATAGAACCATGCCTGGTTCAGCGTCGCCTTCAGCTTGGTCGAGGGCTCCTTTGCGGCGGCCTGGGCGAGCAGCTCGATCTGGGCCTGGTGCACACTGCGCGCGTAGGCGAGGTAGTCGACGCGGGTGCGGAAGAAGGCCTTCACAGGAGCGCGAAAGTAAAATGCGATGGCCTGGGCACTCAAGGCGCGCACGCCGGCGGCCGATGCTGCGGTTGCGGCGTTGCTGCGCGGGTTCTTGTCCGGAAGCTGGGCATCGGGCGGTAGGACGGGGAGGACGCCTGTAAACGGGTCGTATGTCGTTGTGCCGTCATCGAGACGTCGTGTCATTGTTTACTGCTTTTCATCGTCCCCTATAGGTGAAATATCCTGGATGAGATTCAAGACGCCAAAACTTGGCATCGGTTGAGATCAGTTCGCAGATTCTCGATGTGATGACTAAGCGCATGACCCTGGTAAAGTGGGTACCTTCATGCCGGACGTCTCCCGCCTGTGACTGTCAGCACAAGGTACCTAAGGCAACCACATGATATCACCAGCTTGAGATCCCATGACAACTTTTACAGTCCAACATTTACCCTTTAGGCCTTTCAGGAGAGTTCCTGTATCACCATGAAAAAGAATCTAGTTTTATCTCTCGAGTTTGAAGTCTGAAAATGAGAAAAGATCCTTCTTTTCAACAATGCTGATTTTTTGACGTGGCAGGTGTAAATGGTGAGTGCTATAGCGTATACACTAAATTAGGATTCGATGTTGAAATTCTCTCTCTACTCATCTACACATATCTCCATGTTGTTGGTGGTTTGCATATAAGACATGACCGACAATACTCCATTTTCGCTGCTGGGAAGAGGCGTGTAGCCATCGGCAAGGTTTGTCGAACTGTCACAGACCTCAGAAGAGTCCTGGTCTGGGCTCTAATAGCAATAGCAGTCGCACTTGTTGTCAGATGAGCGCCTGAAAATGTAAGTGAAAACCTCAAAAGTGATTTAGAGATGAAAACGAACCAAAATCCAGCATATCCATGCTGATCGTTCTCGTCGATGCACTACATTGTGCCAGTCAGTTGTTTGAATTTGTCTATTTGATCCTGGAAACCAACCCGGCCACATCGCTGACCACAAGCCCAGGTGTCGTCGCCGTTACAGTTGCCGTTCTATGAAAAGTTGTTAGTTTCCATCGATCGTTATTTGAAGTCTCTCATCAGGGTCACACATACTCCCCATTCTCTAGGGGGTTGTTGGCAGACTACTCTGGCGATTTCAGCGGTAGCTAGACTGCTGGAAAGAAGGAGGGCGATGGCGTAGACTTTCATCTTGGATAAATTCTGTGTGGTGTGTTACAAGAGACCAAGATGAGAACTCTAGTTGAAATTTGGAGTGAGATCAAATGAAAGTGGTCAAGAACACCGAGGGTATTAATAGTTTGGTAGGCTGACATCGAGGGTTGCCATTGCCTAGGCATGCCGTTAATTTGCAGCGCCAATAGTCTCACTCACACAACTTGAAGTCGATTCTACTCTCGAATACCAAACGGTCCCAAATTGCCTCTTTGCCATGTCTTACCCCCGTACGTGATAATCACTCCTCGTGCTAAATAGTTCGAGTGATCTTGCAAGTATGCGAGTCAGCAGCCTCAACCCTGGTTGGTGTATTATAGGTGGGAATGTAAAGATTGAGGGGCTCTTTAATCTGTGAATGGCTTTGGACATGATTCGAGGCTTTGATCAGTCGGAGGTTCTGTTGCACCGATGGGAATGTGTGTTAGTCGAGAGTGATTTAGACGCGGATCCAAATTCGTCTTGGAACATTGGTTCACTAAACACTCTTCGTGATCATGTTTGGAGTGGTCAACCAGCACACAGCAGGTATTTAAACTCGAGTACGTCCCCTCGGTCTCTGTCAATTTCGAGTGGCAGGAACCTCTCGTCGAAAAGGTTCAAAAAGAACCTGAAAACTTCATATGAGACGGCAATCATAGACCCACCAGCCTGCCAGAATAAATGCCGAATAGAAGTGGTAATGAAGTAGAAAAGATCGATGTTATGCACTTCCATTCCCGAGTGGTTGATGGCAGGTGCTCCCTGTAAGGTAGGGAGTCTGACTAATCCTACAGTGGTCTGTTCCTGGATTTTACGCTAAGCCCAACCTCTGATGGCTGCCTGCCCTACTTACCTCCCAGAGGCAAAGCAACTACAGCTCAACATCCCAAACGACCACGTAAGATGTGGAAAGCCACCCAGCACAGCCTTCATCGTGATCGGGTTTCCGCACTTCGGTGAGCTAGTCACGATATATCTCGGGCACCATGGAACTCCCTTCCGAAATACTTGACCAGGTCCGTTGAATCTTTCTCAACTGTGTGCGGTCGGCTAATCCTGCGCCTTCGATAGGTCCTTGATGGGTTGATGGTCTACCAGCCGTTGGCAAAAGTCCGAGGCGTCTACTCTCTAGACGACTGGAGGTTTTTCACGTCACACTCAGCGCGGCTTCCTGTTAATACGCGCCACGGTTCCGGCTCCTTGCAAAAGTTTAACCGGGGCGAACTGCCCCCCATCGGAGGCGGCTTCTGGAACTTGCGCTTGGTCTCGCGTCAATGGAACTCCTCCGTAATCAGAATGCTGCAGAAGCACGAATGGTGGAATTTACCCTTTGATGATGGGAAACGCCTCGAGAAGCTTCTACGAGTCTGTGACGGGCCTGATGGCGGTCCATGTAGTTGGATCAAGAGTCTCAGCCTCAACGATCTCGATGGACTACGAACTTTTTCGCGGCTGTACTCGTACGACTTTGAGATGTAAGATTTACTCGTCCACTGAGCACTCTCCGTCTTTGCAGAACGCCAGCAAGCTTACTCGAGTCTACTACCTATACAAGAACGAACGACTGACACAAGGCTGACGCAGGTTTGAGGGTCAGGATGTCGACGACGACTACATAATCTTGCACTCCTATGTCGACAAACTTAGGACGACAGATTGGTGGACCTCGGACCCGACACGCTCTAGACACGAGCTCCATTACGGGAAGAACAACGAACACGCGCTTCTTCGACACTTTTTTGATACTGTCAAGCACATAGAACGCTTCAGTGTTGAGTTCCCTGCGGCTCACAGCAAACACGATCTCATGGCAAATTGCTACGATATGCAAGGCGTAGATGAAATTTTGGCAACAGTGAAACATGGTCTGACCAGTCCGGGATTCCAACACTTAGTGGACCTCAGCTTTGCGGTGCCTTCGACGTGGCATATTGGACAATTGGCTGGTGGCCTCTCTCAGGATGCTCGGGATCGCCTTAGGAAGCTACGTTTGGTTATTGTCGACGAGACTGGACCGAGCGGAAGCGCACAATACACGAAGATAGAAGAGGAAAATAACGACGGCGATAGAACAACTATATTGGGATCGGTTGCGCCGAGTAATGTGCAGGCAACCTATCCCAACAGAGAACATCAGGACGCACTCTGGGCCTTGGTGGCATCTTGCCCGAAACTTGAGGCACTTGGCATTGAGGCGACGCATTATCTCAATTTAGAACTTCAGCAGTGGAAGAATCCCCGGTTCGGATCTAAATATCTGCGCGACCTCTCGCTTCGCCGGATATGGACAAACGTACCGTCGCTTCTACAACTGTTGTCGGCTGTCCCGTCATCGTCACAAGATCCAGCGATCCGCCGAGTCAACTTCGACGATGTCAAGATCCACTGGGACGGGGGCAACTGGGAAGACGTATTCGCGCATCTGAGCACGGACTGCCCTGATCTTGAGATCTTTCGCGCAGAACAGCTCAGCTACTTTTCCAACCATCCGCGTTACGAGCACAACAACAGGCAGTGGGAGAACTATAATTCTATTTGGACAGACGACTACGATGAGGACGCTAACGATAGGCTATTCTTGCAAATACTCGATATGAAGCTTATCAAGAAGGCTGGTTCGCGGGAGGATTATCCTGTTTCGGTATATGATTACGATTCTGAGTTGGAGGAAGAAAACCCATAGGTACCCTTTGTAAGACTCAGTTAAAAAGCCGCGAAGGCTCACAGCACATCGAACACTACTCTTCAGCGTGCACGCTCCTCTCAAACTGCATTCGATCTTTGGTTTTATTCAGAGTCTTGTGCAAGTCCGGACATTGTGGTCCCAAGCAGAAACACGGTCAATTACCTGAACGAGGTCAAATACTGCATGCATCCAGCCGTTTGATCAGGGATACGAAATCCTAGGAATCTGGGTCCCCAAAAGTTCGGCTTCGGCTCCATTGATCGAATCATCGGCTTCGGCTTCAAGGCTCATTCCCGCCCGCGCCCAAGGAAACGAGACAAGCGGGATCAGACATGACAGGTGCATTGCAGAGATCGGTGATTCGATTCGCGGAGAGTCGCATATAATATCTTTGTGGCACATTGGTCCGGTCCCTGGCAACATGCAGAGTGCTGCCCAGAAAACTCCCGAGTGATTCTTAATCTCGCCGGTGATACACTCCGGTCTGTGCGACGTTGATTTTGGCGGCTCTCCGTACGCGATTAAGAAAGATTGGTAGACCAAAATTGATGCAGAGATTCAGCGGGATGTGAAGTTATACAGAAAGGCGAGACGGTGGCACATGTGCGACAGCATCCAATCTCGGCAGGTTCCCATGTACCACGTCGGGTCGGCTCCGATATCCGGCACCGGAACGGGACCCCCGCTGGCCGGGATGGAAGGAACCCCCCACTCTGGGATCAGATCCTTCGGCCCACTGCAAAAACGCCGCTCTGGACAAGTCTGCAGCGGGAAAAGCAAGACACCCAGCTGGGGAAGTGGGCAATATCTCCTCCCTCCCCCATCGCATTCGCTGGGCGGTGTTCGCGCATGCTAATCAAGTAAATCAAGCGGGCACATGTCGGCTTGAGTCCGCGCTGTACGCTTCTGCCGCCTTTGCATACCCGCTATTGCGTGATTGGACAATGAACAAATTTTTGAGGCCCTTGGTACGGGCAACGGCGACGGAAGTTGGAGGGGGAGGATAAGGATCTCTTTAGTTCGACGCCCTTAATGTACACGGCAAGGTATCCCGTGCTAGGTAGCGAGAGTCGAGCGTGATGCAGATGGAGGGAGGGGAGCGAGGGGTCGAGGTAGGCCGTAAGACTGTAGGAGGGCCAACGCCGGCGCTGACAGTTGAAAAGAGTCAGCAGGTCCGGCAAACTTGGGCTTGCCAGCGTGCAAAGGCCGGGGCCGTGACCGGCGGTAAGCGGTAGGCGGGAGCAATACCGCGGCGCCATGTGCTTCCTGGGTCCTTTTTCTGCATGGCTGCTTGGTACCAACGTTGGTAATATTGCAAGGTCCCTTGGGGAACAAGGAAACGGCGGATCCCAAGAGTAGAAGAAAAAAAGGTACAAAAGTAGGTACACCGATTTATTGAGTCAACGGCTTCCCGGGGCAAGGGTGAGCAGAAAAAGGCGTGCTTTCCTCGCGCTCGCGTCCCATCTCAATGCGGAATTTCTCTTTCCTGCCTTCCCTGAGATTCGTCTCTTTTTCTCCTCCTCAGTCTCCAGTCTGCTTCTCTCTTTTTTCACATCATACCGTCTTTCTTGACTCGTGACATTCGCTTGGTGTGTGTCACCCGGGTCATCGAATTGTGTTTCCGGAACCTCAATCCTTTGAGACTGAACAGCGATTATTAGCAGCGAAGGACACCAAAGTCGTTAGACTTGACTTTTCTTTGCCCTGCGCGCGTTCCATCTGCAATACTCTATCTCAGAATCTGGATCTCTCCAGTAAGCTTTTCTCAACCCCTGCCCCATCATACCTACCAAGACCACACAGGACTGATTCATGAAGGCAGATCTCCCGCCCCGGTCCCATCGTGAATTTTTTTCTGAATGCCACCCTAGTCTACTCTTCCGTAAACTCCATTCCTCACAATGGCACCCCGGAAAGCCAACCCGGCCTCGTCGTCGGCGGCGTCAAACGGCAACCACTCCACTGAGCGCACGCCTCTCCTCCAGGTCGACGAGCCCACGACCCCTCTCCCCATCACCCCGCAAGACGAAAACGCCATCCCGCCAAACGAATTCGACCTATTGCTCTCCAGGTCCATCCCCTCCACGGGACCCTTCCTCGAGCCCGAGTCAACCGTGAACCCCCTCCTCCGCGGTCCCCGGCGCTACAGCACGGCCTCCAAACACCGCCGGCCCTCGCTCGCAAGCCGCTCCGACCGCGCCTCCGAGGCCGGAGGCATCGCCGCCGTAGACGACAATGACTACCTCGACAACGACAACGATGATGCCGTCTCCATCAGCAGCAGCGTCGCCTCGACACCCTTCCTGAACGGTATCTCCCGCTCCCGCTTCTGGTTCATCTTCTCCGAGATCCTCCTCACCTACTTCATCGCCTGTTTCGACGGCACCATCATGGCCTCGTCCCACCCCGTCATCACCTCCTACTTCAAGGCTTCTAACAGCGCCTCGTGGCTGTCAACGGCGTTCTTGCTGACGTCTTCGGCCTTTCAGCCCATCTTGGGCCGGTTGTCGGACAGCGTGGGACGGAAGCCGCCGTACGTCGCCACCATGATCATCTTTTGCCTCGCGACGGTGTGGTGCGCGCTCGCGCAGAGCATGACGAGCTTCATCCTCGCCCGGGCGGCGTGTGGACTTGGTGCTGGCGGGATGATGACTCTGGGTAGTATCATTGTGAGCGATTTGGTTCCGATTGAGTGAGTGGTTCCCTTCAGCCTGCAAAAGTCTTTCTTGTGCGCTTTTGTAAGAATGCACACGAACGTTCACTTCGACATACCCCACCATGAGAAGACAGTCATTATAAGAAGGGTTTGAGAGCTGATAGTGAGACACAGGAACCGCGGCGCATACCAATCCTACATCAACATGATCTACGGCGTGGGATCCGCCCTCGGCGCGGCCCTGGGCGGCGCCATGGCCGACCACCTCGGCTGGCGCTGGGAATTCGGCATCCAGGTCCCGCCCCTCATCATCTGCTGCATCATCGCCATGATCGCCGTCCCCAGCGACCTGGGTATGGCCGGCACCAAGCGGGAGAGCTTCATGGAGGCCCTCAAGGCCTTCGATTTCAAGGGTTCCATCCTCCTAACCACGGCTATCACCTTCTTCGTTCTTGGTCTTGTAAGTCTTGCCCTCCATTTTGGTCCCCTTGTGGAATGACACGAGATGGATCTGTGTTATGCAATGGCGTAGCCAAGCTCTTTGAATATGTAAATTAATGTCTTCTTTTCGCAATGTTGTAGAACCTCGGAGGAAACGTTCTCCCATGTAAGTGGCTTTCAAATCACGTCCATTGAACATAATTCTACGTCGCGTAATAGTGAGCTAACAATTATTCAAGGGTCCCATCCTCTCGTAATCGCATCTCTCGCCATCTTTGGCGTCTGCTTCCCCGTCTTCCTCTACGTTCAGTCCTACGTCAGCCGCCCCATCATGCCCCTCTACCTCGTCCGCCGCTCGCCCCGAATGAACCTCATCTTTTCAAACTTCTTTGCGGCTCTTCTGAGCAATGCTATTCTCTTCAACATGTAAGTCCCCCAATCAGCCTCTGTATCCATCCGGACACACCCAAAAAGAGGTGGCTTCTCCTAGAAAAAGCTCCAATATCTAATCTGTACACAACAGCCCCCTCTTCTTCCAAGCCGTCCTCCTCACAACAGCAACCTCGTCAGGCCTCAACCTCGTCCTCCCCTCCATCGTCTCCTCCATCGTCGGCACAGCAACAGGCTTCCTAATCACCTACACCCGCCGCCTCAAATGGCCCGCCCTCACCGGCGCAGTAGGCCTCCTCGTCGGCACAATCGCCCTCTCCACCATGCGCCGCGGCTGGCCCTCCTGGGTCTACCTCCTCTGCCTCGTTCCCTCCTCCATCGGCCAGGGCTTCCAGTTCCCCGGCACTTTCATGGCCGTTTTAGCGGCAAGCGAACAGCGCGAGCAGGCCGTCGTCACGAGCACCCTCATCCTCTGGCGCTCGCTCGGTATGGTGTTGGGCGTGGCGAGTAGTAGTCTCGTCGTGCAGAATGCGCTGGTCGGGTATCTGGACGAATACGTCCAGGGGCCGGACAAGGAGGAGGTGATCCGCAAGGTGAGGGAGAGCGTCGAGTCGATTGTGAAGTTGCCGGCTGCGTATCGCGAGCAGGTCGTCATGAGCTACGAGGCGGCTTTGCGGACGACGTTTTTGTGTTGTGTCGTGATTGCTTTTGTTTCGGTGGCTCTGCTTGTGCCGATCAAGTTGCCCAGACTGGGTGCGAGAAAGACAAGCCGGTAAAGGGATCGGGGCTAATATCTATCATCCACTGGTACTAATGAATTTGGGGGGAAAAGTTGTCGTTGCGTCACCTTATATAGCATTTGTGTTGCATAGATACTTTAGCATTCTAGCGGAAGCATTTCGTGGTTCTGCATCATCATACAAGCTTCAATTTTTGCCTTGCCTTGAATCCAGGCCTAAGCCTAGTCTTGCCTTTCTCATCGCCCGTTATAAATACACGCACACACCCCCTGCCCCCTTTCTCCCTCTAATAGTGACCATTCATCCCATTAACCCTCAGCGCATCAAGCTCATCCTTGGTCTTGCGATACAGCTCCTGCGCCTCGCGCTCCCTCCTGCTAACAAACCCGACCTCTTCCCTCAGAGCACTCAGACGCCGCTGGATCGCCACCTCCTCAGATATAGCCAGTGTCTTGAACCCGCTGAGGGCGTTGTTGGCTTTATCCAGGGCCTCGGCGGCCTCGCCGATCTTGTCCTTGAGCATCTTTTGGCGCTTCTGGTAGCCGCCCAGGTGCAGGCCCAGCTTCTTCTCGAGCTTGATGCCCTCCTCGGCCGTGCTGGACATGGAATCTTGGATAGACTGTGATGATCAGGTTAGTCAATGGAAGAAGCACGAAAAGAGGGCAGTGTGTGTGTGGTGTTACTTACATCAAAGGCGGTCTTCATGGCTGCCTCCTCTTCTTCTTCGTCGTCACCGTAGCATCCCAGACCTAGTAGCAGGGAACTCTTGCTCCTGGCTTCAAAGGATGCTTGAAGTTCGGCTGGCGAAGGCGTTGGCTTCGTCTCCAACATAATCTGAAGACGTGCCTCTGCAAGGTCGTCGTCGCTGATGGTGTCTAGCCGAGGAGCAGCGCCGCTGATCTTGGAGCCGGGCAAAGGATACTTGATGGCATCGTTGGCGACCAAAGCAGCAGCCTCTCGCGCAATGAGCGCTTCGGCACTGTCCTGGAAAGACTCCGCATTCGAGAGCAGGGCCGAAACGTCCACCTTGACCGGCCGTGGCAGTTGTCTCTGCATGACCTGTGTCCGTCTCCGCGCCTCCAGCGCTTCTTGTGCTGCCTTGATTTCGCGTTCCCTGCGATCTCTCTCTCCAGCATCCTCCATCAACTGATCCTCATTCAGAGCAGCCTCCTTTTGGTCTTCGGGAAGTTCAAGCTCCCACTCGGTATCTTTGGGCTTTGGTAAAGATGCAAGGCCTTGTCTCAACTGGCTGCGCAGGGCCATCTCTCGCATCTTGACATCTCTCGGTGTCGCTGAGACGAGGGCCTGGCTGCCGTCGGCATTCAAAGCAAAGCTGTCGCGGGGCGTCCTCATCGGAGTCTGTCCCACGCGCGCAGGCGTTTGGCCAACGCTATCTGTGTGCATTGGTGTCGCCAGGGGGTTCGGTGTCGCAACCACTTGCTTGCGAGGGGCGACACCATCGAATCCAGTCGACTCGGTTCCTTCGTGTAGCGGGGTATTCTCGCCACCGAGTAGTGAAGACTGGGTGTTCGTCAAGGCTCTGATATTCCGGATCTCGTTTGCGATGTGGTCTTCCTGGGCAGGAGCTCGTGGGGTTCGGATCGGGGCGTTGTTGTTCAGGGTCGAGTATTCGCTGATCAGGCCACGGGTTGCATCGTTCTCGCTCTGCCTTGCCATCATGCTTGCCCTCTCACCCATCATACCCATCTTGACAATCTCCTCCAACTCGCCCTCGCTCACTTGGGGAGCTGGCAGATTCAGCGCTCTTCTCTTGCTGCTCTGCTCAGCCTCTCTGATCTTCTGCATCTGACCCGCCTTCACGGCAGCCTGGAATGATGCCGAAGGTGCCTCCTTTTCCTTCTTCCTCCTCTTGTTGTCCCCATCGTCGTCGCCATCACCCTTACGCTTGCTCGCGAGTTGTTGTTTCCTTGGGTCGAAAGCCTCTCTCTGGTGCTCGTTTCGGACCTGCTCTTCAGCGGTATCGTAGAATCCTGGGGCAGCCTTCTTCTCGAAAGGAATGTCGGCATTGTAGTCCATCTGTCCCTTCTTGCGCGTGACGACCTTGATGTTGATGCCGGCTGTTTTGAGCTCGCGTCGCTTCTGCAGCGCAGCCAAACGACGTGACTCCTCCTGCTGACGTTCTCTCGCCTTTCTCTTGGCCTTTTTGCCCTGTGTGTTGGCCAGACGCGCTCGGGCTTCGCTCAGCATCTCCTTTTCATCTTCGTCAAGATCGATCGTATCGGGTCGGGCGGGCTTGCTCTCTGGATCTGGGTCAACCTCGCCGGGGCGCAATCGTCTAACATCGTCGGCGCTGGGTGCCGATGCCTCGCCGCCATCGATACCCGTGAGGCCGAATTGGCTAGCTTCTCTTGCTTCGGCTTCGTCGAGGAGCTTCTGGTATCGCTCGAGACACTGGTTGGCGGTTCGGCCGACGGCAGGTGCGATGGTGCGCCATTGCGTCGGCATAAGCTTGGCGAGGTGCAGAAGCTTCTCGTCCTCCTCCTTGCTCCATTCTGTCTTCTTGATGCTCGGATCCAGCCATTCGTTCCATCTTGCCTTGCACTGCTTCGGGGTCTTGCGCGCGAGCAGTGACGAGACACGCGCCCACTGGTTCAGACCATATTTTGACACAGAGGCCTTGAGGATTTCATCCTCAATATTGGTCCAAACGCCACCCTTGACGACACCCATGATGACGGCGAGTGCTGAAGAAAGTCGAATCGCGACGCGGGTTGTGGTTGTCGAAAGTCCCCTTCGCGAGGGCGTTGCGCGAAAGAAATTGTGATGCGAGGCCAATCTTGAAGGATGGGTACACAAGGCTGAGAGCTGCTTGGCATGTCTTAGTCAGCTTTTGAGAGTGGTAGTGATTGGCTCCACATCATGCGCCTAATGCAGCTCACCGAGACACACCTCGATGTCTTCGGTATGCTCGGTGAAAACCGAACTTTTCAAAACTTAATTTCTGGTGTAGTTCCTGACTGCCCGGATTGAAAGTCCGCCAGGGTCGCCGGCACAAGCTCATCTCTAGCCAGAACGTTGAAAGGCATGGCAAATAAACTCTGGACAGACTGCTTTGACCCAAAGTATACGAAAGCCCATTCTAGCAATCGCATTCCTGAACAGTCAGAAACACACCATTCTTGCATCTTGCCGATTCTAGATAGCGGCGGCATTTTTACGAAGCCCGCGGTTTCGAGCCGGAAGCTTAACATCGTATATGGTGCTGCACTGCTCAAGCAATGTAGTGCGAGCATAGATCGAAGTCAATTACGACGACACAAGGTGAGGGTGCATGGTTCTTGGCATTGATTGGCGGCCCAACTCCGCTACTAGATTGATAAGAGCAGCCGCATTCATGAACTCTCAGCTTGTCACCCCCTCACTTTCCTTATTCTGCTGCCGAGGCACAGTAGCATCCACGCGTCCTGTTGGATTGAAAGAGAGGGGTTTCCTCTGTCTTTCGATGCAGCATGATAATCAATGACAAGAGGACATACCTATGTCTGGGGGATGAGTTGTTCGTGACGAGCTCTGAGCACTTGTTTTGCAATATGGCGTGGCGGCTGGGGTCCACGCAGTTGAGCGGAGTCTACGCAAGATGGCGACTCACGCTGTTTGACAAGCCGTTTCCTGGTATCAGACAGCGCGGAACACGGCAGCAGGCGATCCAAACAGCACCGAGCACATGGCGAGAAAGGCAATGACAGCACGTTGTCGCTTGCGTAAAACACCATCTGACAATTTAAGAGTGGCCGTCTCCAACAAGAGTCCAAAGAAGACAGCGCACCCTCGCGGGAGGCCAGGGGATATGCCGTCGGATGGCGGCAAACACGTCCCCCCAAAGACACAGATGGGATAATCTATCTACGACCAAGTGGTCCAAGTCGCTCTCGGATTGTCTTGAGAGGGGCCGCCGAATCGGAAACCGGAATGCGATAACGACAACGATGAGACGAAACCTGCCGACCTATCCAGCCCAGTGAAAGAGAGGGGGAACTTGGACAGAATTTCCATAGAGCAGGGCAAACTTTCAGTGAAGGTAAGTGAGAAGCGTGGCGTCTTCCAGGAGAGTGGTTCCGCGGGACCGGTCCGCCAGTCGGTGCTGAAACATGCCGACCACCGAACCTTGTCGAGACGTGGTGGACAATATGTTGCTGTGCTGCCATTTTGGGCATCAAAGTTTGTGCTGGCTTTCAGGTAAAAGGGGAGGAGACGGGAATTCTGGATGCAATATGTCTTTGTGCAACTACCTAGGTACGTGGCACCGCCCGCGCGCGCGAGAGGGTTCATTCACTGTCTTTTGATAAACCGGACTTCGGACATCTGAAGCCTGCTGAACTGCGACAACAATAGTACTACCTACCTACCTAGACGGCTAGGTACGACGAGTTGACAGGCTGAAAGTTAACAACGTCTTTTTGGCGAGCCGGTGGGCGTTGGGACTCTGTCACTCTGTTTTCGGATAGGTCGTTCGTAAGACAGGCTGCGGAGTTCACTCTGGTGATGTAACTTGGAGCAGAGTGCCCGCGCGGGAGTGGCTCAAGCTTAGAAATCACCTTCCCAAGCTTGCGGAGTTGTCTACACCAAGTGAACTAAGGTACGGAGTACGTACACGGAGCATGGAGAGACAAGAGTCTGGCCCCCCCCTCCAACAGAGAGCAACGGCGGCCCTGACAGATCTGGGTTGTGGCTGAACTTCCCAGGTTCTGGAGGTATTGTGGCACCCCCCCCCCCTCCTCCCCCAATCGGCCTTGAAGCTGCGAAACTGCGTCATGGATAGGCCTGGCAGACGCCAACTCATGCGCCTTCTGTCCCACGAGATTGGCTCACTCACACGGGGTCACTCTTAAGTCCGGCAGGCACGCCCCTATCCCACCATCCCACGGGATGGTTGCTCCTCAACCCGCGGCAGGGAGCGTCCTGTCGTCTTCCTGTCGTCACCTTTTTTCCTTCCCTTTCCTCTCGGTCTTTGTAACTTGTACCCTATCTCGTTTACTGAGGTCTCCTGCCTTAGTGAAATCTGCTAGACAAGAGAGACTCAGAGAGACTTCAATCCATCTTCCCCGATTCCCCGACCATGAATTATGTACCTCCCTGTTTTCTTCGGTTACGAGGATTTACAAGCAAATCACTGCCGTCTTCAGTTCCCCCTCGCTGGGCTAATCCCACCCACACAATACACCCAATACAACTCACAAACTCTCAGACATGACCGCAATATGATGGACCTTTTGCTTGCCTCCAGTCTCTACACTTTCAGAATCCCCGAGTTCCCCGTGGCCCGTCAGTACATACAACGCCCTCCAAGCCTCAAGGGCCCCAACCGAAACGTGTTTAGGCCGTTACGGACGCCGGACGAAGCGTTGCGCTGCTCTGTCTCTCTCTGATCTTGTCAACGTCCCCACGCCGCTCCAATAGGAATCACTGGCGCCTCGAGAGATGCTATGACCTTCCGCTTTCTGTTCTGAACATTACGATCCATGTCCGGGGGGGCGCTGTTCCCATTCCACGAGTCCACGACACATCCCATCCCATTCCCATCCTAGCACCTAGGTTGGCCCATCCCACTTTGTTCCACACCCGAAAGTCGAAGCCGCCCCCCTGTTCAGTTCTGGTTACTGTGTATGTGTGGTTGTGCAGTTGTCTCTCGCTCGCCCGGGCCCTTGGCTCGATTTCATCAGCGTCCATCGCTGTCCCACACCCGCCTTATCTCTCGATGTGGGCAGCGCACCCCGGTCCTCTGCTACGTAGCTCGGATTTCTATTTCTTTTCCCATTCCCACTTCTCGTTGCGCCGAACGTAGCGCTTCCCTTCCCTTGCTCATGTATTCATACCCCTCTGCCCTTCCAGCTCTGTTCCCTCTTCCGACTTGACAGTTACACTCTCGGAGAGGCGTCCAACTGCTGTGTACCTACGTCCAACACGATCCTACAGGAATGGAATCGTGGCAGTGTCTCTCTGTACATCTTGCCGCGCTCGCCCCCAACAACACAGTCCAAGTCAGGATATAGCTCCATCGCTCGACGATACAGCCCTTCCAAAGACACAAATACTCGATACGAAACTTCGCGGCCTTTCGCTATCAGAGATCAAGCTCAAAAAGGTTTCGGAACCTACTTGCGACAGTTGTGCTGTGTTCTGCACCAAGCACACTACACTACACTCGAACTCGATACAGCGCACGAGCAGCAACAACAACACCAAAATAGTCAAAAATGTCGGCACCAAAAGACGACATCATAGTCACCCGGGTGGACCAGGACGTCCACGGGAAACCCATAAACGAGGCAACAGAGACCACATCACTGTTGAGCGCAGGCGCTCGCGACGGCAATAGCTCATGCGAAGATACATGGCCGGGTTATGCGGATTTCGAACACTTGCCGTGGTGGAGGACTCCCTCTGTAGGATTCTCTCTTTCTGGTTCCGTCTCGGGCCGCCCAGTGATCCCGAACAAACGTGCTGACTTGCCATGCGCCAGGTCTTCTGGCTTCTCATCCCGTATGCTCTCTTCACGCTGGCCTTTGGAGGCTCTCTGGTGCCCAAGCTGAACCTGTATGTCAAAATGGTCTCGTGATGTCTTGGCGGCCGATCGCAGTCGCTAATCTCGTGTGCGACATAGAATCGTCGATCTGGTATGCCAAAGGCATTTTGCCGATGAGACAGCGCTGGACCCGGCCTTCGCTTTCACTCCCGTGATACTCGGCGCGGATAACCCGCAATGCCTCATCCCCGAGGTTAAGAAGCGTGTGTCTATGTTCACCCTGGCCATCAACCTGTTGACCGGCATCCTGTCCGCAATCACCGCTCCGAAGTTGGGCCAGCTCTCAGACCGTTATGGCCGTCGGAAACTCCTGGCTTTGGCGTCCTGCGGCGGCGTCGTGGCCGAATTCATCGTCATCATGTGTGCCAACTTCCCCTGGACGTTCCACTACAACTGGCTGCTGCTCGGTGCTGTCGCCGATGGCCTTACCGGATCCTTCACAGCTGGCAGCGTTCTCATCAACTCGTACACCAGCGACTGCACCGCGCCGTCTCAGCGTGGTGTGCGCATTGGATATCTTCATGCCTGCCTCTTCAGCGGTCTTGCCTTTGGCCCCCTTCTGACAGGTTACTTTGCCGCCTGGACCGGCAACTTACTCTCCGTTTTCTATGTGACAATGGGATGTCACATCTACTTCATCATCTTTGTCGGATTCATCGTTCCCGAGTCCCTCAGCGTGAAGCGCCAGCTCCGCGCCCGCCAAAAGCACGACCAAGAAAAGGAGGCCAAGGCCGGGGCTGGAACCTGGTCCACGATCAAGGCGGCCAACCCTCTGGCTCCCCTCAAGACTCTTTGGCCTACGGGACCCGGCACCTCCTCGAGGCTGCGTCTCAACATCGCCGCGCTCTCCTTTACTGATATGATCCTCCTCGGCTCTGCCATGAGCGCCGCCACCGTCATCCTTTTGTACTCCGAGTCCCCTGAGACGTGGGGCTGGGGCACCCTGGAGAGTTCCCGCTACATCTCCGCCGTCTCCATGGTCCGCGTCGTCGCGCTGCTCGTCGTCCTTCCCCTCGTCAACTACGTCTTCCGCGTGCGGCCCGCAGCCTACCGGAGGAGGGTCTCGGGTGTCTCCATCGTCGAGGCGAACAACGGCGCCGACAGCGTCGACTGCTGGATTCTCCGCTTCGCCCTGCTCTCGGACGTCACAGGCTCCCTTGGATACCTGTTTGCGAGAAACGAGGCCGTGTTCGTGCTCTCTGGCATGGTCACTGCTTTTGGCGGCCTCGGCAGTGCGACCATTCAAGCCGCCATCACCAAGCATGTGCCTGCGGATCAGGTCGGCCAGCTGCTCGGCGCCATTGGTGTCCTGCACGCTCTCTCGAGGGTGCTGGGTCCGATCGCCTTCAACACCCTTTACTACTCCACCGTAGGCGTCTTTGACCAGGCCATCTTTGTCCTCCTTGCATCCCTGTTTGGCCTGGCTTTGTTGGCCAGCTTTGTTGTGCGGCCCGGTGGTAAGTCATTTAACACTACTTGCGATGTACCAGTAACCCCCTTTGCTAACCGGAAACACAGTGTTCCTCGAGGAGACTTACGAGCCCGTCCCTTCATCGGCGCCCCAGCCGAGCTCAAACGCCAACTCAGAGGCGCTGGAAGTATTAACGGAGGATGAACTGATACCCAACAACTAAACTCTAGGTTTTGGGTATGGGACTTGGCGAGTTGTACGTTCTATGTAGTGTCTGTGTAATTTCACGAGAATAGCGAGAGGAGGATTGAGATACCTAGAACATAGACTTCAGCGCCATTGAGCGCTAGAGAGTTGTGGCTCCTTTGCTTTAGAGCAGCGGCAATGTTGCCACACTGGATACAATAGTATCCGTCGATACCAACAATACACCTTTCCTTGATTGTTCAGACGTCTTCTCATCGATGCAATTGGCTCAAGAGTCGTGCCTACTCCACAGAGATTGGACAAGCCACTTTCATTGACTCTGAACGACTCTGAATGAAGGCTTCCGTCCTCCCTTGGCCTCGGCACCGTGGCCATTAACCAGAGCTTTGTGTGTAAAGATGGGCAGTACGACCGCCATCCGTCCCTTGCTTCGTCCAGAATCAGTCAAAAAGGTCATCGACACCTACCTCTCGATTAGATCTATGCCCTCTGTTTGCTCATATTCTTCACCATATTAGCAACTCAAACAGAACGTCTTCGCTGGCTAGGGAACCAGTAAGAAATCTGCACAATGGTAAGTGCCCCAAATCATGGCGACCATTGAGAAAGTGGCTCAAATGTCTCGTCAGATATCCCCTCTCATCTACTTCCTTCTCCTCCAAGTCGCCCCTCTCACCCTCGGTGCTCCGCGACGGGCCCTCTCACCTCCCCGGCAGCGAGAAACCATCCTCGATGTCGACTTCAACGGAGACGGCGAAGACATGGTCAGAGAGATCCTGAACCGGCCGTATAGCACGAGACACAACGACGGCAGCGATAGTAACAAGCCCTTTCACGGCGTCCGCTTCTCCGAGAGCGATCAGGGTAGAGTGCGCGTGGCGCGGGCTGATCCGATCAACATGGAAGCATTACGGACGGTTGTCGAGGAACATGCTCTAGAGTGGGCGTTACTCGAGGAGGTTGAGGTTGACGACGACCTTTCCGAGGACGGCGAGGATGAGGTTGATGAAGACCTTTCCGAGGACGATGAGGACGAGGTTGATGACGACCTTTCCGAGGACGGTGAGGATGAGGTTGTCAGGAGAGTCCACGAGCAAGGTACCTTGGATAAAGATGCGTACTCTGGTCCTGAGAGGAGAGACGTCGAAGGCGGTTTGTGGAACCCCGTCCTTAGAGACGGAGGGAGGAGTGAAGATCCCTTTGCGAAGCCAAAGTTCCGCGAGGGACAGGGGGGGTTCGTTCAGTGCGCGGGATGCTCTGACACCAGAGGTGGCTCCGACGGATGGAAGAGATCTACGCCCTTTGTTAAGCGAACAAACACTCCCACCACCGCCGCCGCCAACGAGACTCATCACTGGCACCCAGCAGACCTCCTCGACGCCCTCGATCGCAACAACGCAAGCCCGTTAGCATGGGACATCCCCACCACCACAACCACCCCCTCCCCCTTCCAAAAGCGCGGAGAAACAGACTGGACCTGCAACCGCATCGGCCAGAAAAACACTAAAGAAGCTCTATTGATCATGTACGACGTCTTCAACAACGTCTTCGGCACCGAGCCCCTACGGGGCCTGACGAACCAGTGTTATGTAGCCGAGTGTCAGGACTGGTACTTTAGTTACTGCCAAATGTCGGTCGACGTTAAAGAGGAGAGACCGGGCGCGCGGAAGAAGGTGGTTGATCGCGATCCGGGGAAGGGAGGGTCGTGTTATGCGGTCGCGGACGGGGAGGATTCCAATCGGTACCATCGGTACTTTTTTGGGCATGTTAGTGCGAATCCGATTCCGAATTAAGGTGGGGGGTTCAATGTGAGGAGGTGTAATTGAAGAGCTTAGATGAGGAGCAGTTTCTTTCTATGCGTAGATATAGCATATTATATTTTGACCAGTTGTGGTGTTCACAAGGCACATTAACCTTTGTTTGTGAGGAATCCATCTGTAGCCTTATTTGATTAGAGAAATAAAAAGGGAGAAGAAGAGAAGAGATGGAGAAGAAGGGATAAGAACCTGATATCAAAGCTTATTCACCTGAAAAATTATGTGTGATGTCGACTGTCAACTTTTGCAAAGTCCACATACAATGGAGGGATCCAAAAAGTAGATTCCATGGAAGCAGTTCGCGCTACTAACACAGCGAACGACATTTTGAGTTCAACTCACTGGTGTCGCCTGCACAGCACAGACCGAAAGTGAAGATTCAATTACCACGTCATGATAGAAGAAGGAGCAGTCAATGAATTGATCTCCTGTCTTGCTAAACGCTCTCACAACCTTCGGTATGATAGGTATTTGCTATGTAGCATCGGGTCTCTTTGAGAAACCGCAAAAAGATAAGCGTTCCGACACCGAGAGTCGAACTCGGATCTCTCCGGGACTTTCCATGAAAGCGGAGTATGCTAACCGCTACACCATGCCGGACTTCATGTTTTAGATAGGCTTACGTAGACCTATAAGGCGCGCCGCAGCTCGCTAGCTAAGCCTGTCCAAGCGCCGCCCTGTGTTTTGCGACGAGCAGCAATTCGGTGTTCGTCCAAGTTGTGAAGCTAAGCGGTCCTTAAATCGACCGGAGAACCTAATATGGCGCCGCCATCTCATCTAAAAATTACCCCGAAGCTACGGTCCCACTCAAAGACAGTGACTCTGAATTTCGCTCGTACTGATTGCGCCTCCCGCAACTCTCTTTTTTTGGGGGAGAGGGGGAAGGGGAGTCCGCCAGGTTGCTCACGGATTTGGGATTGCGCCTTGAAAGCCAGTCGGGCGCTCCTCCGCCACAACTCCCCGATCAGTTCCACTTCATCGAATTGCGACGGCCAGCTAAGTCCGATATACTGGAGAAGGCCTGATTCGCAAGGAGAATTCACCCGAGAAACCTGGCGGTCTTTACATCCTCTTCAAAGGTAGGGACTGGTTCGCAACGCCCTGGTGGAGACAGCGTTCAACCTGAAAACCATTTCGTATTGTCTCAAGGCACTACGTCTCTTGTGAAATACACGCTATAGTCTGAAAGATCTCGCCTGGTACAAGGAAAGAAGAACCTGCCGTGTTGTCCTCAGTCAAGCCGTCAAGCGTAAAGTTTCCCTTTCGTCAACTTAGATACGCGACCCCCGTGTTCCACGCAATTCCCCATGACGAGATCACAAGATTCATCGACCCCCTCAGCGTCCCCGAATCTGACTTTGAAATTTGCTAGCAGCTTCGCCCTTGCCTCGTCTGAAAGTGCTCCGCCGCCGGCTGGGACGTCAAAGTTGGGGTTACCCCTTGTCAAAGTCGACATGTTCATGAGAAGCTTGGGGACCCAAATCTTTAGACTCAACACAAAATCCAAGAGTGTCGTGGGTAGCAACACCAAAGTTGCCATGACGAGAACGGCCATCCAAGCCTTTTGGTATCGCAGGGCCTTGAAACCGACATATACAGTGGCTTGGGCATCCAAAAACCTGTAGTTGAAGTACGTACGGGAAAACTCGCTTGCAAGTGGCCACTTCGTCACGCCGTCATAGTTCTCGGGATGACCCAGAAACAGCGGCTCGTCGCCAATCAAGGCCTGCCAGTAGGTATTCAATAGCTGTGCTAGGTGAATAGAAAACAGCTTTTCACCCACGCGGTAAACGGGGGGGAGGTCTACAGTTGCCGAAGAGTTTAGCCCCAAGCTGGGATCAACTAAGTACGACTGTATGAAACTGTTGAGACCTTGTTTGTTGTATTCTTCGGTCAAAGTAGCGAAGGAACCAAAGAATGTTTCCCACATATAGTTGAGTCCGGTAAAGGGACACTCGTCGAGGAAGGTGATGTTTGAATTGGGTCTTGCTTCTGACGTCGAGGCTGTTGGCCGCATTTCCGCGACACCGCAGTCCCAACCTGTGCATGTGACTCGGACTTCGACGAATGACGTGGTCATTGAGCACTTTGCAAGCGTTGATTGAGTTCTTGAATCCACGTGGTCGTAGTTCCAGTATAGCAAGTCCTTGGCTGCGACTCGAGGATCTGTGCAGCGCTCATAGTCATGCGTCGAGTTCTGCATTCCCCCTGGGTTGGGAACATTGGCAAACTCGCCCCATGTGAATTTAATATTGCACTGCCCTGCTTCACATCCTTGCCGTGGATACGTGACTTCTTCGTGGGCATTCTCTGCAAACATTCGGAGTTCGGTACAGTTCAGCATCAGGTACGAAGTCTTTAGGGTGAAGCTCGACCTATGTCGTTGAGAAACATTAGCGACAGGGATACCAAGAAGTGAAGAATACACTATATCACCCTTATATTGTTCCAAAGTAATCCAGCCGTCTTCGTTGAGCTTGTAATGATTTGTAAGGTATTCAATCATGGGAATTTTGACGTTGCCCCATGTATCTACTTTGGAGCTTTTCACCGCATCTGGGGCAGCGAGGGATCCCAGGAACAATGTGTTGACTGTGGTCTGCTGACCTGCCTCTGCGTGTTTCCGGTATCTTGAGGGGAAAGGAACCTCACTATCGAGATATAGCAGGGTCGAGTTAGATGATACTTCCTCGAGTCGTGGTGTCAGTACTCGAAACGCTGCCTGTCCTCCCAGTGGCGATAGAATCCAGATGATGACTAGGAAAGCCGCTACGACTTCAAATCTCTGCAGGTCGATTATTGTTGTAATAGTTCCGGTAAATGTGGTAGAACCGAAGAGGGTGTCCAACGTCCCGATACGCTCCCCTTTCTGTAATCTCCAGTGGGCATAGCTCTTGACAGCTCTACCCACAACGAAAGCAAACATTAGTGGTACAGCCGTAGGACCCTATGAATGTTATCAGAATGCTGAGTTGACACATAGAGACGGCATTTGACCTACGAGACGTGCGAATTGATCCACGAAATCCCACATGAATCCCAACCTTTCAACATCCTGGCCGTTGTGTGCAAGGAGAATTCCAATATATATGGCATTGACAGTCACCATTAGGAAGGAAAGAAGACTGAGTGAATGATTTAATGGACTGTGCAGTCCATTTTGTAGCTTTTGTGGCGGCCACTGCAAGATTCTCGACTCATCTTTGCATGATGCCTGTGTAGCTTCGCTGTCGGTCTTCTCGGGGGTACTAATAATCGCCTGTTCGACGATTCGTGCAAGTGGCTTCTCTGACTTCGTCTTCTGGTTACCAGGATCTGTGTGTCGCCGCGCCAGAAGAGCCACACCTCGGATCATGGTCTCTCCCGAATGTGTAGATTGCATAGCGGTGGGGTCGACTCTGAAGCTGCGTCAAGGGAATGAGGATTGAAGAAGGTGCCTTGGAGTATCAAGTGGCAGAAGAAGGCTTATTCGTAAGGTGAGTTCTATGAATTTTATGCCGGCAGAGAAGGAGTCAACACAGGCAATGCGGTGTTACCGTGGAGGATGATATCACAAGCGGAACCCGATGAGCGCTACACATCGTGTTATCTTACTGACGTAACAGCAACCGGAGCGTACTAGCTTGCGTGCTCGTTCTTGCCCAATAGGCGCTCTTCTTGAATCACTTTTTGAGGTGTTCGCTTGTAACGGTGAACAGCCCTGCAGCGAAGCGGCCGACGAGTTGGTTTGTCTGAGGTCAGGCTCCGCGCAGGATCTGTATCTCACTGACAGAGACTTGGTGAGACGCAGTGGCTTTCGTCTTTGGCAATGACTGGACGTGTGCCTGGTATGAGGCTGTTCACCAGTGCGAAGTCGTCAGCACCTGCGGCTAAAGCGTCACGTAGGACGAATGAACGAGCCACTGCCGATTTGGTGGAATATTGTGAAATCTGTCTCCGGTCATGGCTAGACATCCACCTGTACGAAGCTGTCAGCCTCTTTGGTGACAGCGTAGCCTATGACGAACGACATAGCCGTTGCCGTTGTGGTTCATGTCCGATGAGCCAGGTGCCTTCCGCAGGCAACCTGAGATGCATGAGAGGGAGATACGAGACATAGCAGTCGAGGACATGAACTGTCGCAAGAAAGACAGACACAGCATGCTTCTGTTTTGTGCATTTGAAGAATAACTCTTCCTCCAATAAGCCTGCTGAAAACTCGGCATCAAGTGGTATAATACAGTTTCATCGCAAAGTCGTCATGCCTCGGTACCATTAAGCATTTTCCTCAACCCATTCCTCAACCCTCTCCACCAGTTCGCTCTTCTTGCCTGCTGTGCTCTGTCCCCTCGCCGCAAGAATGTCTTTCAGATCGGCAACCAGCATCTTGCTCAACGCACCGCTGGCCGCGGATTCTTTGAGCTGCGCCGTCGTCATACCAGACCCTGAAACCTTTGCGGCCTTCGGTGCGGCCTTTACTCTCTTGGCTGGTCTTTCGTCGTCGCCACCGTCCGCCTCGCGCTTGATGGCTGCCTTTGCTAACGCTATCTTGGTCTCGTCCTGCAGGGTCTCGGCCCAATCATCTAGGTAGCCGCCGGCACGCTTGCTGATGGCTTTGTATTTGGGCTCCGTGAGATCTTCCGCCTTTTCAGGGTACTCCTCTTCGAGAGCCAAGACCTGGAGGATCTTGTAGTGCCATTGCAGCGACGGGTTGGGGTATTTCTTGGGGTTGTACATGGCCTTTGGCAGCTGCAGCTGCTGGACGATGATGCGCATCTTGTCGATGAGCTCGTTGGAACTGACAACGTGATTACTTGGGGGCTCCGGACCTTCGCGCAGGTCATCGGCGAAAGGAAACGGATAAAGCCATAAACCCGCAGGGAGGTAAGGTGTTCCCGAATCGTCTTCAGACTTCTCGTGCGAAGGAATGACGGCAACGAGAATTGGGCTAGCGTTGACACGGGTGACAGCCCACGCAATACCGATCTTCTTGTCTTTCAGCAGCTTTTGCCAAAGAGCGCTGAAGACACGAGTCGAGCCAACGTAATCCTCCTCTGACGGGAAGATGAATGTTGACTTCTTGATACTCGCCCAGAAAGGCAACATAGAGCGCGGCTTGAAACCAATGATACGGATAACGGGAGCGCCAAAGTCCTTGAGAGACTTTTGTTCCTCTGGTGCAAAGTGCACGTACTCGCCGCCAAATTTGTAAGCCTTCTTGAACTCGACCTTTTCCACCGTCCGGGCACTATCCTCGGCGATTCGTGTCGTTTCGCCGTTGGCGAGCTGAGGTTTCTCACCGTCCAGCCAGATATATGATGTTCTTGCTGGAGTTTGACGGTGAAGAATGTTGTATCCCTTGACTGAGATTCTGAGTCCCGGGGCGATCTCGAAAGGGAGGTTAGAGAACAGGGAGCGCTTGGGCGTTTCTTTGGAGTTGATGTTTAATATCAATGAGTTGAGGAGACTGAGGCCATCGCCGGACTTTGAGTTTCTGGTTTCGGAGAGATTGGCCTCTGCAACTAGGTCTCGATAGATAATGTCCTGCACGTTCAGCTTTGTGCCCACTCCAATCGAATGGCTCAGTACTTACATCGTAAAACTTGCCGAGGTCGAACTTCTTCTCGTCTCTTGTAATGGGGAAAAGTTCTATCACAACTCCAAGATCGTACAAGTCTTTTGCACGGACAGCCGCGGCCGACTTGGCATCCTTGTTCTTGCCGTGTGGATCGTCATTGTCTGTGATGATGAATAGTCGTCTGCTGCCAAAGTTCGCCGCCTTAGTAGTAAAAATTTGGTTTGCGCAGAAAAAGACGTTGGCCATTTGGACTTCTTCTTCCGCTGGCACTAGTACCTCATCTTCGTCTTCGGCCTCTTCTCCGTCTGCGCCGACCAAGGTCTTCAGTGCCTTGACATCTTCAGCAGCGGGAACGTCGAGGTCTGTGAACAAGTAGCAGTGCGGGTAGCCCAGGCCGGCCCTACCGCTTTCTTCTTGGAACTTTGACTTTTCCGTGCCGAAGAAGAGGATGCCCATCATGTCTTTGGGATTAGAGATGATGCGCTGCTGCATGAGATGATAGCCGCATTTCAAAGCTGCTTCGACGGCACTGTCCCTATCGGCCTTCTTGGAGTTTGTTGCGGGCGGATGCTGCAGCATTGATGAGCTCACGTCAATGGCGAGCAAAATGGCATCTTTTTGAGCCTTGAAGTCCTGCGAAAGGTTAGTTGTAAGTCATGATCCACAGTGCATAGGACTTACGGTCTCATCAAGCTCCTCCTCAGCATCATCCTCATCCTCATCCTCTCTTTTGAAGTGCCCGCGATCAGCCATCTTTTAAAAGTCACTCGAAATGTATATGAAGAGAGGATGGGATGAGTTGCGCTACGTTGGTCGTAATGGGGATGGATATAGCAAGCACTTGCAGGTTAGCTACCAGGCGTCGCTCCAGGCAGCCAGCGCGTCCGGGGCCCTCGCGCACCTGGGAAGCTCGCGCGCCAAGCTCGCAGGAGCTCCTGGTCACAGCGCGCAACCACGTGACCGTGATTGCCGTGATTTTGGATTACGCAGTATCTGATTGGCCCATTTGACTGGGGGTTAGGGGTATACCCAGGCACCAGCTGTTTCAGGGCCAGAACAGGGGTCTTCAGAAGTATCGAGGTATCTTCTCGGCCTCACAGGGGTCCTGCTCGGTGCTCGGTGGGCTACTGTCCAGATCGGGATTTCCTTCGTCATCGAAGCCCGAATTCCTCAAAGTGTCGCCCAGCATCGACGCATCACCGGGGTTCGCGGATTGCCACAAGTGCGAGAATCTAGAGCCACTTGAACATTAACCACGTTTTCCCTTTCCTTTACACTTTCCCTTGTCGAATATTCACAATCAACTATTGTTACGATTCAATGGCGCTCAAGTACACAACAGGACAGCTCTCGCGGAGCTTGTCCAAGGCGACGACATCCGCGCGCAATGCCTCATCGCCTCTTACGATAGCGCTGCCCAAGCAGTCAGCTGCACAGCTTAGATCAATGGCAACGGTTGTACCGCCTGTGACGCAAAACTCTGCTGGATCCAAGGGGCCTACGGCGATGGTATTCATGAACATGGGTGGCCCTTCAACGACTGACGAAGTGGGAGACTTCCTGAGCAGGCTTTTTGTAGGTGTCCCTCGCCATTCTTTACTTTGCGACGCAAAGCTAACAATGCGCAGGCAGATGGCGACTTGATTCCCCTCGGCCGTTTCCAGAACTATCTGGGTCCCTTGATTTCGAAGCGACGAACTCCCAAGATCCAGAAGCAATACGCCGATATTGGTGGCGGCTCACCTATTCGCAAGTGGTCTGAGTATCAGAACGCCGAGATGTGCAAGATTCTCGATGAGATCTCGCCCGAGACAGCGCCACACAAGCCGTATACGGCCTTCCGCTACGCCGACCCTCTGACCGAGGAGATGTACAACAAGCTTTTCGAGGATGGCTTTGGAAAGGGAAGAGGCGGAAGAGCGGTTGCATTCACACAATACCCCCAGTACTCGTGCTCGACGACAGGAAGCAGCATCAACGAGTTGTGGAAGTGGAGGCAAAGGCTGGAGGGCAAGGCCGTCGGAGAGACGACACCCGGCGACGGTACCATTTCATGGAGTGTGATTGATCGCTGGCCGGTACACCCGGGCCTGGTCGAGGCGTTTGCACAGAACATCGAGGCGAAGTTGTTGGAATACCCCGAGGACAGACGCAAGGACGCCGTCCTCATCTTCTCCGCTCACAGCCTGCCCATGTCTGTGGTCAACAGAGGCGACCCATACCCGGCCGAAGTCGCCGCGACCGTCTACGCTGTCATGCAGCGCCTCAAGTTCTCTAACCCCTACCGCCTCTGCTGGCAGTCCCAAGTCGGCCCGTCGGCCTGGTTGGGACCCCAGACCTCCGACTCGGTCGAGAACTACGTCCACAAGGGTCAGAAGGACCTTGTGTTGATTCCCATTGCCTTCACATCAGACCACATCGAGACTCTGTTCGAATTGGACCTCGAGGTCATTGCTGACTCTGGAAGCCCGGAGACCGTCAAGAGAGTGGAGAGTTTGAACGGCAGCCCCGTTTTCATCAAGGCTCTCGCCGACATTGCCAAGGCTCATCTCGACAGCAGTGTAGCCTGCTCGCCACAGATGGAGTTGCGGTGCCCTGGCTGCAAGAGCGAGCGGTGCCTGGAGTCGAAGAAGTTCTTTGCGGGACAGCAGTCCAAGCTTCTCCCCGCGCAGGAGAAGACTCTTGCCCAATAAAGAGTCGCAACTAATTTGCGGCATGTAATTGTGTATTATATCAGGAATCGGGGATCTGTTAGGGTCTAAAATGGCATTCGGAGAATGGCGAATTCAAAAGTACATCAACTCTCAAATCTCTTCCATCTCTCATGCATGAAGTGATTCGCCCGCAGTTTCGTAAACAACCTATTTTCACATTGGAGACGTGGTGATTGCGAAATAACCAAGTGCAAGGAAGCAAGGATTGGAAATGCTTGAGGGGACTTTGCCTGTGATGATGACGCCACTGTATGTCTGAAATGTGCTAACAATTTCCTAACCTAGCTCCACCAACGATCGCCCTCAATTAATCTGCTCTTGGTGAAGCTACAATTCGACTCCATCACGCTTACATAGTTGACGGTAGGCTATGTTTCAGAGGCGGCCTTTGGCACAGAAGGTATTTCGAGCTCAAACCCTCGATACCCGACGAAATATGAGCTCTCAAAACAAAATTCAGTTCGGGCCGTTTGAGGTCACCAGCCAGGTCAGTTGCATCTCAACCCATTTATTGTAACCCTGGTATGATGGAAACCAATATCATGCTAGCTTTGTGGCATCTCATCACGATCTTCTCATGGACACGTTTTCTGCATGTAACATGGGCACTACTTCATTTCATTATCAAGGAACCTATATTCGGGCAACACGGCTACACTCGTAGACTAACACAAGACTAGGTCTTCTACAAGACAGCACACTCCTTTGCCCTGGTAAACCTCAAGCCCCTCCTCCCAGGCCACGTCCTCGTCTGCCCCCTCCAGCCTCACAAGCGCCTCACGGATCTCCAGCCCGCCGAGGTAACGGACCTCTTCACGACGACACAGCTCATCCAGAAGATGCTCGCCCGTCGCTACTTCTCCAACACCACCTCTACATCGGAACCGGCAGCGCCGGAGGCCGGATCGTTCAACATCGCGGTCCAGGACGGCGCTGACGCTGGCCAGACGGTGTCGCACGTCCACGTTCACATTATTCCGCGCGTCCCCGGTGAGACGGGCAAGGACGGAGAAGGGCCGAGAGACGAGATTTATGAGCAGATGTCTGCTGAGGACGGAAATGTTGGTGGCGCGTTGTGGGATGCTGAGTTAGGTAGGAGGCCGGAGGCGGGAGGGAAGTTTGCGAAGATTGAGGATGCGATGAGGAAGGCGAGGAGTATGGAGGAGATGGTGGCTGAGGCGGACTCGTATCGTGAGTTGTTGAAGGATATGGGTTCATTGAGTGAGAGCTAGGCGTCGAATACCAACCATATCACGATGAATTGAATGTTGCAAGAGGTTTATTAAGCTGCTCTCAGTTTGAACTCAGTTTAAGGTGCTCAATGTGCTTCATTACGGTGCGAAGTGCCAGACACAAGACTGACATAGAAGACTGATTATTTATGAGACGAAACTTATCATTATGGAAGAAAAAAAAGAGAAGCATATTTTTCATACTATAATCTAGGTATTTGGATGCAACTTAGCAAGTCAGCCAAAGATACATGTCATGGTCCTCCCTCATCGTGAGAACAGTGCTTGATATGGCTAGCTCGCAATTAGCACGGTATATCAAGGAGCCTGTAGCAAGTCCAGGAAACCCCACCAAATCATTAACGCGTCCAGGGTCTGTCGCGTCGAGTCGCGTCTTCCCTCTCAAGAATAATTGTCACTGTAGCGACACCAAACTGCCAGACTGCAATTGAGGCACTCCGCGCAGCACTTAACATCGTCGCAACGAACAAACGAGAGAATTAAACCACTCGAGCTCAATTGGGCTCCCCTCCAAAATGCCGAGCGCATCTTCACCCGTCACATTTCCCGCCAGCCCATCACCGCCCGTAGCAAAACGCCCAAGGCCCCCGGCGGCTGACCCGACGAAATCAAAGCCAAAGGTCAACAGTGGTTTCCTTCTTGACGATGATTCCGACTCCGACGACAACAATGAGCAGCAACCTCCGCTAAAGAAGCAACTCCTCGATTTTAGCGCTCGCTTGCAACGCCCAACACCCATCATTGCCCGTCCAGACGACGATGTCCCCGAGCTGATAGCACAAGCACCTGAAAAGACGATTGGTAGTGTTGAAGTTGCGCCTACACGAAGTGTCCCTCCTCCTGCCCGACCTCAAAGCCTTGCATCCTCACTGCTCCAAGACACGCCATCGATCTTCAAATCTTCGAGGACCTTCAATCTCACTACCTGTAACGGGACAACTACTACAATCAAGCAACGAAAGCCGACATCCAACGCATCATACGAAAGCATCATCGCGGCGCGGTCCAAGACAAAGGAGGGAAAGGCTAAGCGCGCATACTATGGCATAGCTATCAATGAGCTCATCGACAAGGCCAAGAGCGAAGCTTCAGAACCACGCCCCAAGAGAAAGGAAAGCGATGTCCCAGTACGGTCAGTCGAGCCGACACACACTGGCAAATTTCAAAAGAAGACCCTCCTGTGGACCGAAAAATATAGGGCGAAGAACTTTCTGGATCTTTGCGGTGACGATGGTACGAATCGAATGGTTCTGCGCTGGTTGAAGCGCTGGGATCCAATTGTATTCCCCGGCATTGCGAAGAAGGCCCCGATCGTACGACGGCCAGGTGCGAAACAGGTCCAAGAAGAGGAGAAGCCGCACAAGAAGATTCTCATGCTGACGGGACCACCGGGTCTCGGAAAGACGACTCTGGCTCACGTCTGTGCGAGACAAGCGGGCTACGAGGTGATGGAGATCAACGCCAGCGACGACCGCAGCCGAGACGTCGTCAAGGGTCGGATACGAACGTCCCTAGGAACCGAGACTGTCAAGACTGTCGAGAACGTCAAGTCCAAAGATGGAGAGGTACAGCAAAAGATTGCCAAACCAGCCTGTGTCATTGTTGATGAGGTCGACGGTGTCGTGGGTGGATCCGGCGCTTCAGGGGAGGGTGGCTTCGTCAAGGCTTTGATTGACCTCGTGCTCATCGATCAAAAGAACAGTGCTGGCGGGTCCGATTCCTCGTACTCCAAGAAGAAGAAAAAGGGGGACGACTTTCGCCTCCTGCGCCCCCTTATTCTCATCTGCAACGATGTATACCACCCCTCTCTCAGGCCTCTTCGGCAGTCGGGAATGGCGGAGGTAATCCATGTCGGAAAACCGGGCATCGATGCTGTTGTTACACGCCTCAAGACCGTATTCGACAAGGAGGGCATCCCTTGTGAGAAGGACGCGGCACGTAAGGTTTGTGAAGCCGCCTGGGGCATGACGAGCGGCATCGATGCAAAGCGCGGCGCGGAGAGCGGAGCTGAGGGCGATCTTCGAGGCGTCATGGTCGTTGGCGAGTGGGTTGCCGGGCGCTTCAGGGCTGTCGCCGGCTTCAATGAGCGCTTGACAAGGCAATGGCTAGACCAAAACGTGATGCACGACCTTACAGAAGGCGCTGGAGGAGCTAGAGGGCGAGGGAGAGGGAGTGCAAAGGACATTGTGTCGCGCGTCTTTCAAGAAGGCGGTGGCTTCCCGAAACAAGCCCTGGACACATCACAAAACTTCAAGAACCAGCACGAGCAACCCAAGGCTCAGCTGGGCTTTGCGGAGTATCACAAGAAGAACGCCATGGAGCGGTTGCGACACATGATTGACACCAGCGGAGAGGTCGAGCGCGTCATGACGGACGTCTTCCTGGAGTACCCCAATCGAGAATTCAACGACGACTCGTTCCTATCAAAACCGAATGCAGCGTACGACTGGATGAACTTTCTCGACACCTGCTCGTCGCGCACGTTTGGAAGTCAAGAGTGGGAGTTGGCACCGTACCTGAGCCAACCGATTCTGGCCTGCCACAGCTTATTCGCCTCGTCCAAGCGACACCAAGTGAACAAGGGCTACGACAGAAAATGGGGCGCCACGGAGGAGGAAAGCGAGCCCCCCGTGCCGTTCTCGGGCCCCCGAGCTGATTATGCCGCTTTCGAAGCGCAGAAGCAGAATAGAGCCATGCTCCAGGCCATCCAGGCTCAGCTTACGCCTACGCTAGGGCGGTCGTTCCGGAGTGCTGAAGATATCTCGACCGAGTTCATGCCGTACTTGGTCCGGATGGTGTCGCCGGACGTCAAGCCGGTAGTCATTGGTGGCAGCGGTATCAGCACGGCTAGCGTGCGGAAAGAAACGGAAAAGATTATGGTCAAGCGGGCGGCGGAGATCATGGCGGAGGTTGGGATTGAGATGCAGAAGGGCAAGATCGAGACGGATTCGTTGGTGAATAGGGGGCCGCAGTGGGTGTACCGCATGGAACCGTGAGTCACTTTTACTCCCTCTTGCATATCTACCATTAGTGGAAATCCTGCTAACACAAATTGAATAGTGACCTCGATGCCCTTGCGGTATATGAGACGGCAGGGAACCTGATACTTTCCAGCCAAGCACCAACCCGATACGCCGTCCGCCAAGTGCTAGACCAGGAACTGCAAAAGACCATCATCCTACGCGAGGCCGCAGCCCGCCAGGCGCGATTCAAGGTCGGTGGCCCGATGGGCGCTGCGGAGGATACACCTTCGCAGCAGCAACAACAGGCGGACAAGGAGAACATGATAAAGGAGCAAGAGAGGATCCTTGCGTCTAGCGTGAAGAAGGACTTTTTCGGGCGTGTGATTCCTGCAAGGCCGCTGGGCGAGGTGGATGGTAATGCCAAGAGGAAGAAGACGCACGATCACCACGAGGGCGGGAAGAGTGATAATAAGGTCTGGGTTACGTACCATGAAGGATTGAATAATGCTGTCAGGAAGCCGATTTCGTTGCTGGAGTTTATGAAGGGATTGTAGGTGGGGGCCAAGGCAGCCTCTTTCTTTGGGGTAGATGTGGGATTGTGATGAATATAATTGAGTCCGATTCCTACTTTCATGCAAGTCTCGATTGTTTACATGCCGTCATTATTCTGCTTTGCGTCGAGGTCAGCTGTTAAAGTGAAATATGCGACGCTCGGCATTTTCGTTATCAAAGTCGCAGTATAGATGCGAAGCCATTTGTGATG